CTCTGCTGTAAACATATACTATCCTTCAAGAAAAAATGAAGAATGGCCCTGAGAAAAAAATCTTGGACCAAAATGGCAAACCCCCAAGTACAGAGAGGTCAAGCCTCTAACCAGGAATATTCCCAAGTCTTAAAATTAATGAAGTTTTGTTGGATTTCATTTTCCTTTCAATTTCTCCCATTTGGAGTAGGAAAGTTTATAACTATTATCCTATATTTCTGCCACCACTATAAGCAGGTAAGAATATTTTTTTTTTTTTTTGTAATTCACCAGTCTACTGTTGAAGAGAAATTTTGCTTCAAGAAAGATCACATCCAAGGGCTAGGGTTGTGGCTCAGTGGTAGAGCACTAGCCTAGCATGTGTGAGGTGGCACTGGGTTCAATTCTCAGCACTACATATAAATAAATAAAATAAAGGTCCATTGACAACTAAAAAAATAAAAATAAAAAAGAAAGATCATACCCAGAAACTCTCTTAAACCTAATTCAGATGATTTACAGATGAGATTTTAGGTATGAGTTGATACATAATGTGTTGATATTTGGGGGAATACTGGGATGAGGTAAATATATTTTGCACATAAGATGGCAACACATCAAGAATCAGAGGAGAAACTGTGGTAAGATGAATACTGGCCCCCAAAGATATCCATTCCTATTCATTGGAACCTCTGAATGTTAGCTTACATGACAAAAGGGACACTATGGATGTGATTAAGAATCTTGAGATGTAGATTATGCTAAAGGGCCCTAAGTGTAACAATATGTATCCTTAGCAAGAGAAAGAGGAGAAAAGCTGACACAGAATAAAGTGGTAATGTGATGATTAAAGCAAGATACTATGCTGCTGGTTTGCATGATGGAGGAATGGTAACTCTGGAAGCACTAATGGAAAATTCATTGCCTTACTAAGGAATAAAGAATACAGCTTGGGCTGGGGATGTGGCTCAAGTGGTAGCGCGCTCACCTGGCATGCGTGCGGCCCGGGTTCGATCCTCAGCACCACATACAAACAAAGATGTTG